TACACTGCCTCTGGGATAAAGGCCTGTAGTTCTCGGTCCTCCTTACAGCTAGGAGTGACCCCGTGACTGCATTTTTGCTAATGAGAGCCAAATGGGCCTTTTGGTCTGAACTTTGGGMTGGCTACCAAGGCAACATACAGCCCAACTTGACTGTGAAGGCAAGTGCTGCGGCAGCCTTCCTGGACCTTGAGTACAGAGTGAGGACGAAACCATGAACTAAGATAGCACAGCAAAAAGAGAAGAAGAACCTCAGTCCTTAAGGACACAGGGCAGCTCCATCCCGACTTTGAAGGGCTGACCTTCAGGCCCCTTTTAAGGGAGAGATTCTGTCTTCTTCAAGCTACTAGCATTTTAGTAGCATCCTTAATAAGGGTGGGCACCAAACCCATCTCACTGATGAGGAAACTGAGGCACAGGAAGGGTCGTAGTTTGCCCAAGGTGGAGGGCTCGCAGGTAACTCAGGAACTGGGCAGGCTCTGTGCTGAGCAGGCCCGTGCTCCCCTGCCCTGGGCACCCTGCTCTTGCTCTGTGGCCGGAGAGGCTCCTCCATCTCAGTGAATTTCTCTGGGAAGCCAGCAGGTGTCTTTCCCAGAAGAGGTGAGTGCTGTCCACCTCTCAGTTCCTGCCACCTCGAGGCCCACACCTGGGCAGAGAGGCCTGAGTGCTCCCCCCGCTGCCCGCCACAGAGCTGCCTCCCAAGGGGATGAGGTGATTAGAAGGGGTAGAGTGCCTCTTCCTCCGGGCAGCCCTCCGTCTCCCCATCATGCCGTCCCTGGCCTTGGCCCTTCCTGAGGCCCTGAGCACCTCACATGAAGCCAGAGGCCCTCTGTGGCCTCAGRGCTCGTGCATGGCCAGTGTCCCCTTGCCTGACTGGCCTCACTTCTACCCCTCTCTGCTGCCGCTCCCGAGTATCTCACCCTTCCTCCCTCCTGCCCAGCAGCACCTCCGCCTCCACACCTGTGGACCCCGCAGGTGGAGATGCCCTGCCTCTGGCCACCGTCCCCTCCACAGGCCCCCTCTGTCCCCCCCACAGGCCCCCTCTGTCCCCCACTCAGGTCTCCACTGAAAGGGCCTCCTCCGAGTGGCTCCCCAACCCCCGGCCCGACGTGGTGTCCAGCTGCCGTCGGGCCTGGCGTCTCCATCGACACGGTGGGCCGTGCCCGGGTCGTGGTGCTGTGAGGGGCCCACAAAAAATATTTTAATGACCTTTAAAATCAGAAGAAAATAAATGAATAGAATTCAGCCTGGTTTACATTCGTCTGTATGCYGACGGGGTCATAAAATAGGATTTTTATTTTAGTTTTATGGAGAAGGGTCCCGACAAGCGGGCTGTGCCGCCGTGTGTTCACTGGTCGCCCGAGAGCAGCTTCCTGCCTGCAGATGCTGGGCTCYGTCCCTTGTCCACTGCCCAGAGCAGTGCCTGGCGCAGACACAGCGTGAGTCAGCCGAGGAGCCGCAGCCAGAGGAAGGTCTGTGGAGCAGTCCCTGCTCCTGAGGGCCACCCTCGCCCTGCAGAGCTGGCCAGGTCCCCTGGACACCTCCTGAGCCCCACAGCCCTGCTCCTGGCCCAGCCCCAGTGCACCACCAGCGGGGGGTGGGGGAAGATGGGGAGGCTGGGTAGGGGTGTGGCCCRGGAGAGCGACCTGTACTTTCACTGCAGCGGGTTGGACGGTGTCACCAAACCATGTCTGTCCACCCCTGAGCCCTGGAACCTGTGAATGGGACCCCACACGGGAAAAAGGTCTTTGCAGATGAGATTAGTGATGAATCTAGGGATGAGATGAACCTGGATTATCTGGGTGGATCCTACGTCCCATGACAAGTGTCCTTATCAGAGACAGAGCAAACACAAAGAGGGACACGTGAAAGCAGCAGCAGAGGCGGGTGGCACARCGACCAACCAAAGAACGTCAGGAGCCCACAGAGGCTGGAAGAGACGGGGAGGCCTGCCCCCGAGCCTCAGAGGGACGCAGCCCATGTACACCTTGACCTTGGACATCCCACCTCCAGAATTGCAAGAATAAATATTGAAGTCACCAGTTTGTATAAAATTGTTATGGCAGCCCCAGGAAACTCATGGTCACCTTCTCCAAAAGATCTGGAGAGAGGAGGCTCAAACAGCCACGTTAGAAGCTCCTATAGAGCCGGCCGATGGCCACTGGCAATGTTCCCAGTGCCCAGCAAGATCCACGCAGGGTGGTCACCAGGCACAGAAAACAGGGGGGCAGGTCTGCAAATGAGCAAGGTCCATGACCAGCGAGGCCATGGCCCAGCTCTGGGAAAGCCAGGGGGGTCATGCCCCCAGAGGAAGGCCCTCACAGCCTGGAAGCGGAGGGAGACCAGGTCCCGAGCACGTGGTCCAGAACTCAGCCTGGACTAGGGACTGACACTCAGGTTGGGAAGGACATCGGAGGGCTGGAGCTGGGGCCTGGGAGCCCCCACTTTTCCAGAGCAGCCCCAGGAGATGTCAACTTAGGGGAGCCCCAGGGGGAAACCCAAACTTGGTGGCGCATTTCCAGTTCCCGCGGTTATTAGCTGGGGGACTTGGGGCAAATTCCATCACCTCTCTGTGCCCATCAGGCAGCAGGGCTGAGAAGAGACAAGGAAAGAATCCAAGGGGYGTGCGAACAGGGGGGTGGGAGCCAGGGGTGGAAGGGCCTGCTCGCCTCCAGGGCCTGCCCAGGGCCTGCCCAGGGCCGGAGCAGGCCAGCCAGGGAGCAGAGGCRCTGGCCCTTCCCCGGCTCTGTCCTCTCCTGATACTTTGCTACTTCACAGGGACATGGGTGCAGATGAATTTGTCTACCATTTTCTAAATGGCCACTGGGCCTTGCCCCTTGGTGAGCGGGACCATATCGCATGGTGGGGACTGCGGCCTGGGCTGTCCCTCTGCTCAGCCCAAAATTTTGGCTGCGCGGGAAGGGGGCCCAGGGTGGTCACATCTGCCGATTGCTCAAGAGAAGCCAGATGAAGGGATTTTTTTTCACCCCCAACTTCAGATTTTCAAAAACCCATTGGCAACAAATTCACATTTTTAGAAACGTGTAAACAGCAAGCGAGGGACGAGGCCCGTCTGCAGAGCTGCATCTGGGCCTCCGCCTGGGACTCTGGTCTTGGGCCTGGAAAATAGAACAAAAGCTACGTTGCACGTCAGGACAATGTCAAGAGCGTTTGGAAATCGCAGGGGCTGGAACTTGTTAGGAGCTCGGTCTGAGGCAACAGGGGAGGAGAGAGCGGCGTGTCCGCAGCGGGCTGAGATGCTGGGAGCGTCAGGTGCCTGGGCTGCAGATTCGAGGAGAAAAGGCAGCCACAGTCTGCTCCCCACGCCCACCGAGGGCCACCGGGAGCACAGCCGGGCGCTGGACACCCGCCTTCACCAGGTCCACAGCCGGGCACCTCCAGAGCCGGGCTCCACCGCAGCCCCTGAACTGCCCCAGTGAGGCAGCCGGACAAGGCCGGCCCTGCGGCCAGTGGTGCTTCAGAGTTTTGGGTGTGTGCCCCCCTTCTCTCTCTTGTGCCTCTGTTTTATTGGGATGACTGAATCTTTCAACTATGTGAGCAGTAAACACAGCTAATTTACCCCCTGCCTCTTCGAAACAGCTGCTGACAGCTGAGCTATAATCCAACCAAGGATCTCCGAGGCCCCGACGACCAAATGCACATTTGCTGTTTGGTTCCATGTCCCTCCCGGAGCCCACACAGCTGCACCAAACACTGAAGAGCCAGCGCCTTGCCCCCAGGCCTGTGCGATAAACAGCGCACCCCACACCCCCGCGGCCAGGCCAAGGCCAGGTCCTCAGCAGCTGGAGAGCGCCCCGCCGTCCAGGAGCGCAGAGGGAAAGCGGTGCACACAGACACGCGGCCCGAGAACCAGAACCAAACATCTCCTTTTATTACAAATCAAAACCCTTTTTATTTTGTCTCTTTGTACAGAATTTTCACTGAGGACTGTTCGGCCACAGCCGTGGGTACATTGATCCAACGGTTAATAAATAGTCTTAAATAAGAAGACAGACAGGTGGAAGGCCAGCGCTCACGGTCCCGAGGGAGAGCGGCGAGGAGGGTTTCAGAAGAGCTTCAGGTGGAAATAAATAACTTCTTTGTCTCATCACAGCTATTTACAGGTTGAAGTGTACACCATGCTCACCAGAGGCCGGGAGTCACACAAAAGCCCCTGCTCTGCCTTTAAACAAAGCAAATTGCAACAAAAACACTCTTCCCCCAACAACCAGGCAGCAAAGGCTGCAGCCCAAGCTACTGAAGAAGAAAAAAGAAAAGCAGAGCCGATGTTTCCAGGAGGCACAGGACGGAGCTCCTCACCAGCCTGGGCTCTGCAGGGCCACGGGTGCTGCCTGGACAGCTCTCCCCTTCCTGTAGGGGCAGGAAACGCCCTCCCCACGGCCTTGCATTTGCAGCTGGAAACTTGTGAACAGCATTTGGGGGGCCCATCGGCCAAGGCAAAGGTGGGGTGTGCACCAAGAACCATGTGAGAACTGTCACCCCAGCAGGATACATGCTCGGGAGGTCACCCTCTTGCTGGCAGCTGGAGTCCAGCGCACCTGAGCCTCTCAGCCCTCCCACCAGGTGCCTCTCGCCTACTTCAAGGAGACAGTCTGTTTGCAGAGCCCTCTAAGAGGGGTCAGCAAGTGAAGAGAGGAAGCTACAGTGCCCCCGCAGGCCCGGCTTCAGAGAGGAGCACGGGTCCGCTCAGAGGAGGAGCACACTCTGCTCCCCGCAGGCCGGCGGACTCGTCTCCTCTGTGCTTCCCAACCTCAGGGTGCAGCCCAGTTCTGCCCTACTTCCATCCTCACAGGGGAAACCAGTCACCAAGTCCATCCCTGCCACAGCACACCTTCTCCTTTGGGCCAACATGGCCACTTCCGGGTGCTCCTGGTCCTTCCCTCCAGCTGCATTTGGGCAGATCTGGGTAAACTTGGGGCCCTGCAGGCTCGGACTGAAACAGGAATGGAACTGGGGACTTCCCACCCTCCAGTGGCCACAGCGTCTATGAAGTCAGAATAAACCAGGAAATGGGGATAGACTGTTGAGGAAACATATCTGTGACGTCCTAGCCGTTTGCATTCATTGGCTTTATTGTGACATTTGTTACAGGACCTTCCCACCAGTTTTCCTTCAGCTCAGCCACAAGGGCCCACCCCTGGCCATGCCTTCCTCCCTGTTTGGTGGCCTGGYGGACGGTCTCCTGGTCTCCTCGTTGCCTCCAGAGTCAACGAGCCGGAGCCCCTGGGGACGGCACAGCCCACGACTGTGGCTGCGAGATCTTCCTTGTAGAGATTCTTTCCTGTTAGGTTTTGCCTGCAGCAGCTTGTAGGAGCTTGTCCAYAGGAGGCTGCGGAGGCAAAACTGATCCACAGCCACTTGGCACTCCAACCCTGAGACTCTTACACCTTTACAACTGGGGAGGGGAAGGGAACGTCTCAAAAGAGGCAGCTGGTCCGTTGGCTCCTAACCAAGGCAGGCGGTAAGAGATACTGGGCAGGCGACACAGCGGATCCAGAAAAACGTGGCCCCAGAGGCTCAGCTTCCAGGAGGGGCTAGTGGCAGCCACAGGCCCGGACCACCATGTTTCTGTATTTCTTCAGGATGACGTTGGAGCTGTCATCGAAGTAGAGGACGGAGATGGCGTTGAGCTGGGTGGGGGCACAGCAGGGCTTGGGCACTGTGTCCGGGTTGATGAAGTGGACCTGCAACACACCCAATATGGCCCGAGGTGAGGGGCAGGCCTGGCCCCCATCTCTCCCTAAGGGACATCTACTGCCTGGGCCAGATGACCCAGATGACATTAGCAAGAAGACCCTGACCTAAGCACATTACACACACTCCCTTGGCTCTGGGACTGTCCCCATGTTGCAGATAAGGGGACCACAGCACAGGGCATCCTCACAAGATACAGCTGCTAGGCCAGGAGCAGGATGGGCCGTCTGGGGCCAGGTATTCTGTGTCCTGCCACKGAAAGAGCTTTCTCCTGCTTGTGGGCATCAGGACCTGGGCAGAGCATGGGTTGGAACAGGAGCAAAATAAACCCCCAAATGCCTGCAGAGACCACATGATGCCACTCACCAGCCAAGTCAGCCCCGAGGAGGCCACAGGGAGAGGGGGAGCTGGGGCAAAGCGAAGGGAGAGGCTGCCACTCAACCCAAGCTGACCGCAGGTCAAAGGATGTGGCCAGTGCTCAAGACAGGCCAGAGATGGAGCTATTCTAGAATGTTCTAGGTCACAAGTACAGGAGGTATGCTAGGCCAACATGCAGAAACCTGGGCCTCTGCCCACAGCCTCCAGGCTCGGGCCTGACATGGCTTCCTACATCCTCGAGGATGGCCCTTGTCCATCTTTCCCTCCCCCACCCTGCACTCTGAATGATTTTTAAAGCAAACCCCAGACATCAGCCCATCTCTCTGTGAGCATCCCCCCAGGACTCCCTGAGGACCGGGAGTCACCCTCATTGAAGCATGACCACAGAGCACCATCTCACTGTCACTCGAGAGCCCCTTTTCATCTCAAGAACTCCGGTGAGATGCTGACTGAGGCCACCAGGACCCTGTCCCATGGGCCATGAAGGGAGGGCTGGAAGAGCACATGGATGAGCTCAGGGCAGCATGGGGACATGCCCCCACACTCCAGGGTCCCGAGGCAGTCCTTCCCTGCAGCAAGACGCTCCAGGCCCAGGCCCAGCAGGGGAGGGCCGTTCCGCTTCCAGCTAAGGATCTTCAATCCGAAAAAGGCTTTCGAGTTTATAATCCAGGGAAGAAAAGGCTTTGGAAAACACATACTTAAAAAAAAAAAAAAAAAAAGCTCTTGCCCCCAAGGGACCAGATGAAAGGACCAGATGAGCTGTTCTCCAGGACTGAACAGAGAAGCAGGTCGCAGCATAGACATGAAGCCCAGGATCAAGCAGCAGCCGGCAGAGGGAGCAGCCCTGGCGGTGGGCTCCGGGTCACCAGTAGCACTGCAGCCAGGTGCATGACCAGCTGCCAGGGAAAGCCCAGTCAGCCTTGGTGGCAGGAAGCCAGATAACGAGGTCCTTGCACCTGGGATTCCAAGCTGAAGAACAAAGTRCCGATCTCCGAACACTCTTGCTAATTTGGGTAGAGTAGTGCTAATGGCAGGTCCTGAGCATCCCTGTTTGCTGGGAACTGAGCTACGAGCTTGGACCTCAACAGCATGTTGAATCTGCCCAGTGACCCTGTGGATGAACGTGAACTAGCCCAGGGCTTCCTAGCTCTCTACCATATGACCCTCTTTGCCCTCTTCCTGGTACGCTCTTCCCCTCTGAAATCTCCCCATCTGTTTACTGAACTGTTTTCCACACTAGACAATGAAGCCAGAGGCCAGGGACCCCCTCYGGGTTATTCCCTGCAGTGCCCCTGGCTCTGGGCACGGGGTCTACATACTCTAGACCCTCAATACAACAGAGGCCTTGGAAGGACTGCCTCCCCATGTTCAGGGCCTGGAGAGGAATGCACGAGCTCATCAAGGGGCCTGACACTCTCAAACTGACCCCTCCCCAGGGATGGCCAGACGCTGGGGTGGGCAGAGAGCCTGCAGACAAGACTGTCTCAACACAGCACAGACATCTGACCCCAAGAACACAGTCCAGACTGATGGACGGGCAGCCCCAGGCCCACTTCTTGGTTAGGCATGGTAACCAGCGCCTSAGATTTTGGGAGCTCGTGAACCTGTTCTACTGTTAAAGTTAGAACAAAGGAAGGAACTTCACATCCAGACGCATGATCATCTTTACTCCAATGAAGTCGTAAAATATAATTTTTAGTATCTTTTTTATAGAGCCAAGGGCCCACCAGATAGCATCTCAGGCTCTGGCTTGGAGGCAGCACAGCAAGACCTGAGGTTCCACAGCCTGTAGCCCCAGCTGACCACCCCCTGGACAGCACCCGGCGGCACCCACCAGTGTCTGCACGATGGCGTGGTTGGTGGCGTTCATGTAGGAGTTCAGAGGGAAGGCGCACTCCCCCTCGCAGTAGTAGGCTGCGTAGCCTTCAGGGGCGATGATCCAGTCCTGCAGGAGAGGGCAGCGGCTGGGGAGTGGCTGGCCACTTTCAGAACCACACAGAAAACCTAAGTAGCGGGGCCCTGCCTCCCATGTGGACACCCCCCTCCCGTGGGCCACGGCCAGACGGGCTCAGGGCTCTGCCATACCCCCAAACAGGGGGGTCCAGAAGAGGCAGGAGGAACAAGAGCAGCCTGTAGCCCCAGCAGAAAGAAACAGAGTCACCAGAGGGCAGGCAGAGCCAGGGCTGTGCTCCTGGACAGGAGGCGGCACAGCAGAGAGGACTCTAGTGTTGGGGACCAGTCAGGAACCGACTGTCCCTGCCAGGTGATGACACATTACAGTTTTCTGTAAGCCAACCCTCCATGCCTGGGTGTACCCGCCTGGAGGAGAGGCCAGTGACCCTCCAGCGCTGTGGGGGAAGTCCAGCAGCGTGCACCACCTGTGTGCACAGCTCCGTGAGCAACACACCCCATGCTGCCTCCAGGGTCTGCAAGCCCAGGAACACTGTCCAGCAATCCATGCATCCCTCACTGACTCTCAGGGGCACAAAATCTTCCAGCCGTGACCCCTGGAGTATGGATGCTGCCGCAGCACTCCCTGGAACACGGATGCTGTCACTGGTCCCAAGGATAGACTCACAGTAGGGTGCCCAGCTGGCTGCATGCACCTTGCCTTGTGGGTATCTGGGCACAGTCCCCATGGAAGAATCTGGACTCTCCCATTGAACTATAAGCTCCCCACGGGCTGAACAACATTGTGAGTTGCCCCGGGATCTTGGGTCAGTGCATGAACTCCGTGGGACAGACACATGACCAGGTTCCTGGCTGCACCTCAGCACCCACAGCAGGCCCAGGGGCTGTGGACACTCACRAGTGTCCATGAGGTGCTGGGTGAGTGACCATCAGGACTTGTGGAGGACGCCTGCCGGCCTGCAGGACCCTTCCCCACAATGGCTCCAGAGGGATCAGCCCCGTGGAACCATGGGAGGGGAGGAGAGGTGGGCAGAGGGGATCCCGCCCACTAACACAGGGCCCGGCCATGTGACAAACAGAGGTCACAGGATGGGAATGAGGGGCRGGAGGGCCATGAGGCTCAGAGTCCACAGTGTTGGGGCTCCTGGATCTGGGTGGAGGCTCACATTTCTGTTGGGGGTTTCTTGGGACGTCCCCGTGACCCTGGCCCGCAGCCTCTTCCCTGGTTAGGCCACGTGCCACCTGGAGCCTGAGTGGCAGGATGAGGTTCGTGACTCCTGTGCACACAGGGGCGCTGCCCCAGGGAGCGCGGCGGGGCCCTTACCTGCCAGCCCAGGTCACGGAAGCTCACGTACAGCTCGTGCTTCTTGCAGGCCTGCCTCTGGTCACTGCTGCTGTTCTCTGTGTGGCCGAGGAGATGAAGGAGCAGCACCCAGGGAGGAAAGCACACACGTTCACGTCCCTCCGCGTGACGCAGTGGGAGCACGATCACTCCAGCCGGAGGGCGGCTGGGAGATCTGGCCTGGTGCTGCCCACACAGGTCCCTGCCAGGGGAGGTGCCCGGCCTCTCCTCTCCCTCACCAGCTCAGCCAGAGCACCTTCAGGACCCCTCTGGACACTGGCTTCCCTGATGGAATGCTGGCATGTGCCTGGGGTCCACGAGGGGTCAGACCCCACAGCAACCCCAGCTGGCTGCACAGCCCTGCTCAGAGGGGTCTGCTTCAACTGTGTGGCCTAGGAGTGAGGTCAGAGCACCCCTAGACTTTCTTCCATCTGGGGGACAAGAGGTGTGCAGAAACACCTGGAACAGAGTCCCCCCACAGCACCAGGAAGAGAGGACAGAAGCCAAACCCCTGATGGCCAGCACACACCCCACTGCRGTTCCCACGGGAGCAGCCACAGTGCCCCGGGGTTTTCCAGAAGCGTACRTTGGTGAGCCTCAAGTCAGGCCCGGGCACTCGGGACCGCTGCAGAGTCTGCGCACGCCTCGCACACGCACGCTCTGAACGCCCGCTTCCACCTGCGGCTGGGCGTGCTTTCTCCTTAACCATGACCTGCCCATCCTCCACCTTTCTATCTACCCAGAGTGATGTCCACCTCCGGCCCTTGCCTGGAAGGCCTGGGTGGCTCTGATCCCTGAACCATCAGCCACAGGCTGCTCCTACGGGGGCCTTTGTGCTGAGCCATTTCTCACAGCCCAAAGGCTCCAGTGCGTGTTCCTCCATTCTGTGTCTGGTTCCTACTGTGTATTCTAGTCTTGGCTCCAATGTCACCTCCTTAAAAGGCCTTGTGAAGTCACCGCTGCATCTCCAAAGCCTTGAGTCCACACTGCACATCACATGTAAAGGAGGCTCAAAGCCTCAGCCTCACTCACCCCTCTAATGCTCTCGGGGCTGAGCATGCCGGTGGGCAAGGTGGCCCAGGGAATGAGCGTCCCAGTGGGCATCTGAGAGGAGGGAAAGGGCAGGCCCAGCAGGTGAGGGAGAGCTTGCTGCGTTACCTGACCCAGGTTATAGGACTCAGGTGCTTGTGTCCCCACGCCTCTCTGATGGACCCAGTGTGGCCCTCCTGAAAGATCTGTTACTGGCCCCTCATGGCAACCTCCCCTTTCCCGGTGACTGTTTGGGACACCCAGGCCTGAGCTCGCCAGCACGTCCTGCCACCAGAGGCAGGCCCTGTTCGGGAAGGGCAAGGAGCTCAGCTCAAACCATGGGCCTGGGGGTTCTGCAAAGAGGGCCCTCCATCCTAAGGAAGACCCATGGGAAGACGCCCTGCTTTCTCCTGTTGCCTGGCAACAAAAGAATAATGAGGCCCCCACGGCTCTGGGTAGCCAGGGCCCTGAGATGAAGCGCTGCTGAGATGGCAGGGCAGGGAGCACTAGAGCTGGGGCCGCAATTCCACTGCTGAGCTCCTGGATCAGAACCTCCCCTCGGTTCTGTGGGCAGTGCATGTTCCAGTATTGATGAGCACGGGACGTGGGGTTCTGAATTTGCAGGCAGTCCATCCCGACTGGTGCTGCCAGCGCAGGCTCGTCCCACGGTGGACAGTGTGGTCTGCTTGAGTCTCCCCGGCGATGCCCTGGAGGTGCAGGCCCAGACACACAGCAAGCCCTGCAGGCCAGCAGGGGCTCTCCCAGCCGCTGGCTCCAGTGGCCACCTCCACGCCAGGCCAGCTGCCTGAGTGTTTGCAGCAGTTCGCCAGGGCTCTCACTCGTACCACCAGCCCACCCGGGGGACATTTAAAACTGCACACAGGCACACCTTTTAACTACTGAGTATCACGGCTGTGTCCCTCAAACCAGTGACACGCCACGAGGGTGTCTGATGAAGAGGGAGCCACCCCCAACACCCGCTCTCCACCATCCACAGGAATCCTAGGTTAGTGAGAAGTGGGTGGGGGCCAGGCTGTCACTCAAGTACAAAGGTCGAGCTCAAGGGCACCCTGGGAGAAGGGCCCAGGGAGCTGGAAAGGCAGCTTCCCCTGGCTGCCCAGAGATCTCCATCGGCACCCTCGCTGTGGCAATGCRGGGTCATAGGAAGCTCCCTCCACCCACAGCCTCCTCGCTCTTGCCTAAGGCGCGGCAGAAGGTGGGGAGCATCCTACAGGCCAAGGAGCCTGACTGAAGTGCCCCAAATGAGAAAGAGGTCTGAGCACGTCAGCTCGGGCCTGGGTCATTGCCAAGTACATGTGTCCGGAGTAAAGAAAGACCCTGAGCTGACGTGAGGGCTCAGCACCAGGGTAGATCCACACTGTCAGCCAGGAGCACAGGAGGGGTCCTTGGGCCCAAGTGCCACTTCCCCAACCACATCTGAAACAATGAAGTTTGACTCAAAGTTCAAACCCCAAGCCCAACAGGGGGTGGTGGACGTGCTGTGGGGCTGGACACTGGCACTACCATCAGGGACCCTAGACACCTGCTCTGCACTTCTGGTCTCAGAGAAAGTGGCTGGAACTCCTGTGTCTCACTAGGACTTCGTAGCAGAAAAGCCAAGCAAGGCTCCCAGCCCCCGGCCCTCCAGTCCTGCCCCACTTGCCCACACAGCAGAGCGGGAGGCTGCACATGCCACTTGCCCTGGTGGCCTCCACCTCCACGAGGCCCTGCCCAAGCAGCCAGCACGTCTCGACCAGTGCGCAGACCCAGCTGCCACCCCCACGGGTCGTCTGGTGGAGGCGGCTGATCACCAGGGCACTGGGCTCAAGTGGGGCGAGGGCCCAGGTCCTCCACCCAAGCACGCCATCTGAAGAGCCGTTGGGCCCTGGGGGTGGCTCACAGGCAAGCAGCTCCATGGCAGGCGGCAGGCTGCAGCCTGTGTCCCCAACCCACATACAAGAGCTGCGTTCGAGAGAGGATTCAGCTTGTGTGGCCCCATAGCAGGGTTCCTGGCCTGTCACATCACGTGAGATGGGCACACCTCCAAGACACAGGGCACGCACGCCCATGCACGGGGGCGGGCACTGGCTTATGAAGTCTGGGGTGGGGCCCAGACCTGGGATTTTTTTTTTTTTAATTAAACTTCCAGGCCGTGTTTAGAAGAGCTTTAACAAGGCCAGGGAGTTGAAATCCACAGGAAGGAGGGAGGTGGCAGGTGGAGTAGCTGCCCCATGGGGAGTGAGGGCCCCGTCCCTGGACACTTGGTGAGGATCTGATGGAGAATCGGGTTGGGAGGCCAGGACCTCTTTCCTGCCCCCTCCTTCTGATAGGGCTCCAGGACAGAGCCTGCTGGGGTGGAACGTGCCAGCACTTCCAGCCTGCTAGGATGCAAAAGCCTCGGCCAAGCCCCCAGGCCCTGGCTGAAGCCCCGTGTCCCACCCCACTCGCCCTCCTCAGAGCAGCCAGAACCATCTCCCACCCCACTGCACATAGCGTGGAGCTCTGAGAAACCTCTCCATGTTCTTGAGCTGAATTTCAAACCTGAGCTGCAGCTTGCAGGGGGGGATCCACACCTGCCCCTCACCTGCCCCAGCCACACGGCCTCAAGCATGCCAGGGAGCCTCCGCCACGGGCCCTGCAGCTGCAGGTCCCACTGCCTGGCCAAACCCTGGGGACAGCCTGGCCACATTCAGCACCTCCTCCTCACTTCCCAGGGGAAGCCTTGCCTGCCCCTGGCATGGGCTGGAGTCCCACGTCACTGTCCCCCATCCTGGGCCTCTCCTCACACAGGGTGATAATGATGCCCGCCTCCTGCCCGGCCTGGAGAGCTTCCCCACTGAGCCCCAGCCCTAAGGCCCAGCTCGGAGGAGCCCCTGATGTGAAGGAACAGATCAGGTGATCTTTGATTTAGCAAATCACAGACCCTTTCAAGAAACCTAAAAAAGGGCATGAATGGAGTCCAAGCACAACCCTGCACACACTCTGAGCCACCTGGGCCACTGAAGCCCACTGGGGTCAGGAAGTCCTGCTCTCAAAAGTGCCCCTCGGCCCAGCAGGCTGCCTCTCCCTGGGAAAGTACAATGAACCTTAGGATGGGCTGGGTGAGGCGGAAGGGGCCGCTGGCAATGGGAGCTGGGTTGGGGGGCCGCTGCTGCAGCCTCGCCATGAGACCTCTAAACACCCCAGTTTTCTGGGTGGTTCCATGGACCAGCCCAGGCCTGGGAGTGTGCTCAGAGGCCCCAGCTGCCACAGCTGCTGACCAGGGCAGGTTTGTGCCTCAGACTGTTCCTGGAAGCCACCAGGGTCCCAGCTCTGGGAGCTGAGCTCAGGGGGACACCCAGCCCATCAGCAGAGGAGAAAGCTATGTGGACAGTGGCAAGCTCCTGCCCACTGCCCTGGTGCACACCACCACACAGGGCAGCTCCAGGTCACRCTAACTGCCCATCTGGCAGCATAGGAGTTAAGTCCAGCACAGCTGCCAGCTGAAGTCTAAGTGTCATGGGCTGCCTTCTTTCTGGGGGTTCTGGGGAGAGTCCATTACCACCTTTTCCTGCTAGAGGTCACCTGCTCTCCCTGGCTCAGGTCACCTGGAAAGGGGGACTTAGAGGTTTTTTTGTTTTTTTTCAGCCATAACCTGGGCTCCAAGGATCTGGGTGGCCACCACCACAGTCCCCGGGAAAGCGTCTGCTAGAGATGTTAATTGACATTTTCCTTTCAGTCTGGGAGAAAATAAAGGTGCGTCTCCTACCAGCACAGGGACCGCTCCACATGCAGGGGAGCATGAGATGGGTGAGGGTGGGGGTGGCCACAGGTGACCACAGGGCTGGGAAGGCGATTCTGGCTCCTAAATCAAGATCAAGATGTACCATCCTGGGTTCCGGCAGCCTACGCCACCAGACACCATCAGTGTCCAACTGTCCAGTCAGCCTGTGGGGAAAGGGACCCTGTGCCAGCCAGCCATGTTCCCAAAGCCCCAGACAAGGACAGGCTCATGCACGGACTTGGCAAATGCCTGGGGAATCGTCAAAACCCCTCAAGAGGACTACTGGGGACACCAAGGCTCATCTAGGACAGGCAGATAGCTCCAGGCAATTCTAAACAGGGACGTGGTTCCAGTGTAGTGGACAGCCAGCCTGCTCCTGGGGCTCAATCCCAGGGCTGCCACTTACTCCGTGCCCTTGGACAAGTTACTTAACTTAAACTGAGCCCCAGTTTATCTCTCTGTAAAACAGGAAGCCTCGGAGTCTCGGAGCCCCAAGAACTATAAAACCTCATGTGCTAAAATCTGTCCCGCTCTATAGCAAGGATCTGAATGCTGCCAACCCTAGAAATGTCCTTTGGGGTTGCCTCACATTTAGTACTTTCATTAATCTTTGAATTTCTTTTAATGAAGATATTACCTCTATTTGGGGGAGGGGGTGGTGGGGATTGAACTCAGGGGCACTTGACTCCGGAGCCACATCCCCAGCCCTATTTTATATTTTATTTAGAGACAGGGTCTCACTGAGTTGCTTAGCACTTCGTTTTTGCTGAGGCTGGCTTTGAACTCACGATTCTCCTGACTCAGCCTCTGGAGGTTCTGGGTTGTCTCTATTTTTACAGGTGTCTCTATTTTTAAATTCTTTCCTATAGTAATGAAACATTTCAAACAAACCTAAAAGTATACCAAATAATATACAAAAACACTTTCCACCCATATTATTTTTTCAAGGAATCAAATTGGTCACAAGTTCTCARTATTTTTCATTTTAGGAAATAAGTGCAAGATACAGCCAACAGCTCCCTCCGTTTCCCCTCCCACCCACACCCACTGCCTGTCTTCCTAACTCCCCTTCCGAGGTGTCAGTGCGGCCGCTGTTTTCTCTAAGGACAGATCTGCACCATCTGCATCATGCTATGCTAATGCTTTTCCRTTTGCATTTCTAAGTTGATTTATTAGCTTTATTAATAATCAAGCTGCCAGGCTCTGGGCAGGCAGGGATGTGGGTCTGCTTCTGGCTGTGTCTGCTCTGGAGCCGCCTGTGGAGCTCCCACCCTGATCTGGAGTGGTTCTCGTTCCGGGGCTCTGTGGGGCCCTGGGGTCCTCGGGTACCTGCGCCAACCCACCCTGGACGTACCTGCCACACTGGCCATCCTCAGAGCCTCCTGGTTCTTGGGCGTCTTGGAGCGGTTCTGGCTGCGCTGCTTGCCCCCAGTAGACCGGATGCTGCGGAGGTGGACCTCGGTGGCCTTGAAGAAGGCCACCATGAAGGGCTGCTTATGCTGGGGCCCRTGCCGCCCGATCAGGCCCGCCAGCTTGGGGTTGACGCTCTGCCCTAGGGAGGAAGCAGCCAGACGMACAGACGGTGGGTTCCGGGAGGGACAGGGCAGCTCCGTGCTGCAGACATCATCTCCCCTGCCCTTCATCCATGGTTCTGCCACCCACCAGTCCTGGCCACAGCCAACCCCAGGCCAGGAACTGTCCTAGCAGCCTGGAAGCAGCTACAAGCAAAAGAGAAAAGCCCCCACTCCCCGACTTTGCACAGSGGGGAGGCGGCCGAGGGACCCCCTGGGTACTGAGTGGGACCGGTAGGTGTGGAGGAAAACGGGCAGGGGAGGGGCAGGCTGCAGTTGGCAGAGGGTCCCACGCCAGGTGCACCTAAGTCCCACTCGGTGCTACGTGGACAGCAGCAAGCTCCTGCCCACTACCCTGGTGCACACCACCACACAGGGCAGCTCCAGGTCTGGGTGGTCACCACACAGTTCCATGGCCGAAGTGGGTCACATAGTCAACCTAATTTGGAGGGGGGCATTCCTGTTCTGTGCCAAGGAGGGTGGGCACAGCTTCCAACAGGCCTAACGACTGCAGAGAGACCACTGGAGAGGAGAGCTGAGGACCATGAGGAGGACACCCCTCCAGACACAGGGAGTCCAGAGGCAGTTGTCTGGAGGTGGGCAGAGGGCCACGGGTGAGGGCTGCAGGGGGGTARGTAGTGGGCAGGGGCAGCAGGAGCCCTGATGGTGTCGGTCCTGTGGGTAGCAGCAAGCTTTTGCCTTGACTGTCCACCGGGGCCAGCAGTGGTCCCACCAGAGCCTCAGGAGAGGACGATTTGGAAATAGGGTGTTTAAGATGTAATTCAAGGAAAGGCCAAACTAGGCCAGATGGGCCTTGATCCAACAGGCTGTCCTCCTGGGAAGGCCAGGTGAAGGCAGAGGCACAGGCACCAGGGAGGGACACAGGCCAGACACTGGGGTTGCCGGGAGCACCTTCAGCAGGGGGGCACGGAAGCATCCCTCCCTGGAGCCTGGGAAGGAATTCCCTTGTGGACACCCCGGTGACGGACGTGGGTCTTCCAAGCAGTGAGGGAASAAAGCCAGGCTGTTCTGAGCCACCCAGGCTGTGGAACTGTGTTCCCACAGCCCAGGGAGGCCACCGAGGCACTGCCTGAGTGGGAGACACCGCTTCTTACAAGACCACCTCCGTCTGTCCCTGGGGACTGGACTTCAGAGACCAAGGACAGGAGCAGAGGGAGGAGGAAGAGGTGGAGGAACCACCCGGACAGAGGTGAAGGAGGCCCAGCCTGGGCGCTGAGTGGACCGTAAGAAGTGGTCGGATTCCCCAGGTTCGAGTTTTAAACCCATATCTGGAATTTACTTTCACTCTCTGTTTTTAAATAAGTCTAGATTCACTGAAAGTTGGGGAAAATCCACAGGAGGTCCCACGTACCCTTCACCCAGTTTCCCCAATGGAAACATCTCAACTAGAACATGACGTCCCAAGCAGAGAAGGGCAGGTTCTGGGTGTCTTGAAAAGGAACCTCCCGGAATGTGCCAAAGGATGTGGAGACCAGAGCAAGACGCTCCCTGGGGACACGAGAAAGGAAGGCCGCCCGTTTGCCGTGGCGGGGAAAGCAAGGCAGGGCTGGGCAGTGGAGAGGGAAGACGTTGGGTTAGGGGACGTTGTCTGGAGTCCCTACTTGACACCTGAGGGGAGCAGCCAGGCAGGTGGCCAAAGGTCCCAGTCTGAGTGTGGCTATGGATCCAGCCAAAAAGAGACGCTTGGCCTGGGGAGGCTCAGGCCAGCCACCTGCGTTCAAAGCCAACCTCTGGGCACAGCGCACATGCGGAGCTTAGAGGAGCTATCAAATGCCAGCAAGGGCAGCAGGCGGGGCCAGCGAGGGGTTTCAGGAGAGGCGATGAGCTTGCCCGGGGACAGCGTGTGTCTGAACAAGCTGGGCCCAGGGGCTCTTTCTCTTCCACAAAGAGGTGGGGGCCTATGGAGAGACTGCACAGGAAGGCCTCAAAGGAAGGTTCCAGAAGAATCCCGGCAGGAAGAAGGGGACACCAGGAGGGGACGGGATCATCCGGTGGAGGAAGTGATCCCCGTGTCCCATCCTCTGCTGACAGCCTGAGACAGGGCCTGGGCACTGACTGTCAGTCTCTGGGCTGGGACAAGGACGAGATCGTTGGAAATCGTATTTAGTGTCAGGTCTGGGTGGGGTACAAGCTCCAAGGGGAGAAAGAAGCATCCGATGAAGACAAAGCTACCTAACATGGGGACAGCTGGGAAGGYGGAGTGCTGCCCCCAGGGACACACAACTTGGAGCCACAGTGCAGAACTGGAACCCAAGTCAGGCTGACAGAGAATCTGGAATCTTTTTTCTGCTTCTTCTGATGCTGGGGATTGAACCCAGGGGCACTTTCCCACTGAGCTACACCCTAATTCCTATTTATTTATTTAAATTGAGACAGAATCTTACTAAGTTGCTGCGGCTGGACTCGAACATTCAATCCTCTTGCTTCAGCCTCCTGAGACTCTGGGATTATAGRTGTGCACCACGGCGCCCGGYTTCTCGAGGACTCTTGACCACTGAAGCTAGGATGCCCCAAGGTCAGGCAAGAGGGGTCAAGGCCACAAGAACAATGTCTCCATAGGGCCCTGGCCCATCCACATCTGGAATTAACTCTGCCTGGAGTCCCCCAGACGGGCCAGGAGTCAAGGAAATCTCTCAAGACCAGATCAGCACCAGGGGTTCACTTTGGCTTTTTAACAGCTCATGTTTAAAGAAACAAACCCGCTCCGTCCGCCGTGGCCTGGCCTCCACCCCTCTTAGCGCCGGCTGTCCTGCATTCTTAAGCAGGGTTTCCTTGAGTTCATCCACCTATAACTCGARTGATTCTATAAAAGAAACCATTAAAGCTGAGCCCCTAGGAATTATGCTTCCCCCCTGGAAGGATTTTAGAGCAAAATAAAAATGCCTGACCTGAAAACCTGGTGCCGTTCCAGACACCTTAAGTCCAAGTGCTGGGAATGGAGTCCACAGCACCGTGGGAGGACCTGGCCAGGGACCCACAGGCTCCGCTGAGCGACAGCAGGTCAGGGGACAGAGGAGATCGACAAGGGTTGGACATGTTGCCGGCAGGGCCTCGAGCTCCTCATCTGCAAAAGCCCTGCCCGTCCCTTTCCTGGTAACCCACCCCTTTTCACTGAGGCAGCTGTGCCGAAAGCCGACTGCACCTGGCCTCAYGGGTGGGACTGAGGTTTAATAAGAGGCCACTAATCCTCTAGAACAGTCACTGGCTCAGGGGTTAACGTGTGACCCAATTCAGTCAGTGAGTGCAAGAGAAGTACCCGGGAAGTTTCTTTTCTGGAAACTTTCCACTCTAACTTTCAGAAGTGATTTTCTCTCTACAAACAGGACCGAGGGAAGAGAAATGGAGGGAGTCCTGGGATCGGCCACCACCTAGCAACCACAGGGAGAGCAGGATCAACAAAAGCTGACCAGCAGAAGGAGCACCAGAGAGGCAGGGTCTCTCCTGAYGTCACCAGGTCATGGTCAAACCAGCGGCACATTCGAGCCGGCCAGCGAGATGAATGACCTCCCCCCGTGACGGAGTCCAYGCCGATGTTTGGGGCCATTCTTGCCCCTTTCTAAGTGGCTGAGGACAGGGCACGTCGGTGCAGGCCATGGTGGCCTGGTCAGGAGCAGACCCTCCGCAGGTGTGGCTGAAAGACACCTGGCAGTGGTTCACTTACCTTCACCAAAGACAGGGACACAGAAAGTAGGCCGGCCATTTCCCCCAGAAGCCGACCGTGTCATGCCCACGTGACCCACCAGAGCTCCCCGGCACACGCCCAGGAGAACTGAGCCCAGCGTCACATGACCAGCTGCATGTGAGTGGCACAGCAGCAGCAGGCACAAAATCAGAACACGGAGACAAATGCCAGGCCTGAGGACGGTGTGGCTCACCTGGGGACAGGGAGGACACAAGCCAGAGAGGGTGGGCTCCAGGGACAGTAGGCCCGATGGCTCTGGGGGGGCCATCCTGGCACTCTAGCAGGGGGCTCAGCAGCAGCAYCCCCAGCTGTGACAACCAAGAATGCCTCAGAACTTGTCACGTGTCCCCTGGGAGGCAAAGGTCTTGGTGGAGAGCCTCCCCCTGGCGGGGCATGTGGTAGACATTCCACATGCTGGGACTCCCCAAGCCCTGTGTCGGCTGACACCAGTCTGCACGACGACTCTGAGGTCCATCCTCGTGGTCCCGAGTGCCCCTGTTCGTCCTCTGCATGGCCGAGGGTGTCCCACGCTATGCATGGACACATTGCTTAGCCGTTCGCCAGGTGAGGTCTTGGGGCTCCTTCCAGTTCTGATGATGATCATCAGAGACAGCTGGGCACAGGCCGTTGAGGGAACCGCCCCTTCGTTTCTTCTGGTCTGGAGCAGGAGTCGTCTCCCACACACCTGTCCCCCTCTGCCTCTGCACGCTCCGGGTGTCTCACATTTCCAGTCTTTAGGGACGAGGGAAGCCATGTGCCGGGCCCTCACCTGGTGGCTCAGTCTGAGTGCAGAGGCCTGATGCAAAGAGGTGCGTGAGCTGTGGACCACACGCCGTGCCCCGCCTGGCCCCGCTCTCCCTCCCACCCTTCCCTGCCTCTGGGGCCTGGGACTGCAGGATTCTGGAAGTGTCTTCCTCCTAAAAGGCAGCCACAGGGATTGAGAAATGTCCTTTACCCTGCCCACCAGATCCTGCCTCCCTCCGTCCTTGGGGACAAGGAGGCAGCCCTCCTGCCAAGGGTGAGTGAAGGGCCCCGGGACAAGACATTCAGGATGGTAGGCCAGAAGGGCACAGGCTTGGCGCTGATGACTGGCCCAGGGGGTCAGGCCACATCCAGCCACCGCCTGCTTTTTCAAATAAAGTTTTATTGGAATACCGCCAGCGCACATGGTGGGTCCCAGAGTCTGCTTTCCCACCAAGGCTACTGCTGTGCAGGCAGATGCCCAACCCTCCAAGCCTCCGATGCCCACCCTGGGCACCACAAAAACACTGGCAGCTC